TATACATCTCGTTCTATTGTCGCTTCGTAGTGGCCGCTTGTATTAGAAGTAGTAGATGCTTGTATTATATGAAAGTTATTTGAATGTTTTAGTAGGTAGAGATAAGTGGTAGAACATATATCCACATGTTATCTGAATGTTCAATTGTTTTAATGCATCTAAATCTAGTTGGTAAATATATCATTATAAATAAATTTGTAACTTCAACTTTTATGATATTGATACAAAATCGTACTATGTATCAACTAAAAGAAGTTGGTACCAATTTAGTTGGTTGGTACATGATATAAAATTTTATGTTTCAATTATAATTGGTTGGTAAAAAATACATGGAAAAAAAAAATTACGGTACCACACCATGTTCACCTTTAGTAAAAAGTCTGAAAGTGGGACCTAAATTTTGATAAGTATAGAAAACATCCTTTGTCACTAACTCTGTTTTTTTCTCTGTTAGGAAGAGGGACCTTTACGTCAGTTATATCTTTTTTTGTCTTTTTCACTTTTGTTTTTTTTTTAATTGTTGTAACAAATCTCAAACTATAGGGATTAACTCTATATATAGGAGCAAGTTCAAACAAGAAGCTAAATATTTTGCGAAAATACGATAAGTTTCAATATCATCTATACTATCTTATAAAACAAATTTAACAAAAGTCTTAAAGTCTTAAAATATTAAATGATCAAGATACCCTTTATATCATTTTTTCACTTTTTCACCCCCTTCTCTCCTCACATACACTCACCCTCTCACAACCCAATTTTTTTAAATTATAATTTTAAATTTACACTTTATACTCATATAATTAGTTAATTAATTTATTTTATGTCCTTTACTTTTAAATGTTTCATTTTAAACCTTTATCAAATTAATATACATAATCGTATATCAATTAAAACATGTTTAAAAAATACATTTTTATTTTAACAAGTTACACCATTATAATCGTCTCGTTAATATCTTCAAAATGAGTCCAATAATGAATAGTTTTTGACTTAATTATATTATTATATATTATATATACTGTGAAAAAATATTTTTAATATTTACGATTTATACTTTTATAGTTACTTATTTATATATACTATATATTTTGGGATTAGATTGTCCAAATTGCACTGTATAATATGTTCTTATGTTTTTTTGAAATATATATATACATGTATTAATTCAACCTTAATCTAAGTTTCTGGACAAGAAAGAGGGTAAACAATTGATATTTCATTCTAAAACCCATCTTTTTTGGTCTTTTCATGGCTTATGATCTATCAAATTTGTAGTTTTCTTTATTGATTTTGAGTGTTTATCTTAAAACTCAAGTTTCTTGGTTCTTTGCTCTTGGTGTAAATCAAACACATTTGTGGAGTCGTTTAAATATGTTGGATTTTAAATATATTAGATTTTAAACTGTCATACAATTTTTTTCATCGATAGTCTGTAATTGGAACCATAACTTTTATTTATTCAAATTGCATTAATATGTAAAAACCAAGTGTAACATATATCATCGTTAAATCTTATCTTATAAAACCAGTGAAACTTCAAAATCGTTAAAATTAATGGCTCCTGCCGCATTGCGCGGGTACACAACTAGTATATGATTACACACATGATACACAAACTTAGGTGGCGTTTGTTTTTAACAGGTGCTGAAGTCTGAAGTTTGATTTCACTTATGATTTGTAAGATGTGGTGCTGAAGTTTAAAATCTGAATCAGTCAGACTGTTTGTTTTTTTGTTTGAAGTCTGAAAGCTGAATCAATTAGACTGTTTATTTTTCTAAACTGACATATGTCTGAAATCTAAAATCTAAATCAATAAGACTGTTTGTTTTTGTAAACCAACAAACGTCTGAAATCCGAATCAGTTCATTTCGATTAAATTCAATTGAAATATCCAATCATTTAAACCATTTGTAAACTACCATATATTTTTAACACATTCAAAAATTCAACTGAAATACGTCAATTAATTCAACAAACAATAGAAAACACGAAGAAAGTCTCATAATAACTAAAATCAATATTTATTTGCATTAATTGTGTAGCAATTTATTCTCTTAGACTAGCCATATATGTTTGGTCAGCGGCACTCCTATGCGATCGTTCCTTTACTCATTGCTTTGATCATACTCAGAAAATAACTCATAACTTAAACACGACCACGAACATCCTGATAACCATTTATGTATACAGTATGCACAAATAAATTTACAAGTACATTTTCTAACATACACAAGTGCATAAAACCAGGAAACATATTTAATTACTTGTATATGTATATATATACCATACAAACGAACGGTTATTAAGGTGTTTATCATTTTTTCATTTTTTGAGGGTATTCCTCTAAAAATCATTTAATAACATGAAACCGACAAATTCCTACTAATTAATCAAATAATATTAATATTTGTCTCTATATACATAGTATTCTTAAATATATAACATTAGATTATCGTAACGTAATATATATATATATATATATATATATATATATATATAAGTTTCAGTATCATTAACTAATTAAAAACAAGGTTTAGCGTACGGCATGATCATCTTATATTCATCCTTAATTATTGATTTTTCTCATAAAAAAAACTAATGGGACAAACACAAACAAACATTACAATTAAAATGGTGATAAATTAAAACACAAATACTTCTATATTAATTATTTATTGGTTGTGATAGATAGTGCATATGGGGACTTCTCTACATATGCAAATTAATGATTCCTACTTTATAGGCTGTAACTTCGATATATTAATGGTCGCCTTCATTCCTATATTAATGGTCGCCTTCATTGCTGGTCCTCTAGTAGATATTGATGATATCAATTGTGAACGTGTTTCTGGATCTCTACTTTATGAAAACAACAGTATTTTAGATGCCATTATTCATACTTCTGCAGTTATAGATTTGCATTTTGACCCAATATGAGAAGCAACACCTGTCGATTAATGGTTATATGATGGTGGTCCTTATGAACTAATTGTTCTACACTTCTTACTTGGTGTAGCTTGTTACATGGGTGGTGAGTGGGAACTTGGTTATTGTCTGGGTATACGACCTTGGATTACTGTTGTACATTTAGTTCCTATTACAGTTATGACTGCTGTTTTCTTGATTTACCTAATTGATGGTATGTGTTTAGGTCTTACAAATTAAATAGTGGTTGTGATAGATAATGCATATGGTATCTTTTGGATATATATATATATATATATATATATATATATATAGAATTGGGATCATGTGAGACCAATGGTTTTTTGTGAGACCCGTAAGACCAATTCTCAATCCTAGGATTACATCTACAATCCGAACATTCATAAATGTCACGTGAGACCAAATGTTTTTCGTGAGACCCGTGAGACCAATTTATGTTCATTGATCAACTTTATAAGCTAATTAATGATCTAAAGTTGTACGGTGACAATTTTGTGATTATTGAGAAGTCTCGTGGTGTTTATGAATGTTCAGATTATCATATTGTAGATCTAATCTAAGGGTTGAGAATTGGTCTTACGGATATATATATATATATATATATATATGAGCAATCAAATGTAAATCACTCATATTTGTACAAACTGTGCAAATCATTCTCATCCATCAATTTCATTGTTTAATCTTATGAATTTTTTTTATGAAATTGTTTCATATAATACATTTTTGATGAAGTTGTTTCATAATGGTTATGAAATTGTTTCATGTATTTAAAAATTAATATAATGAAGATGATAATATCCGTGATTAACATCCTTCACAATAAAATGATTAATCAACCTCTAATAATTACAAAAAAATAAGCAAAATGAAAAATTATGATTGGTTAAATGAAGTTTGTACGATTTATACAAATTAAATAACGTGGTTTGCAAAATAAACATTCTCTATCTGTCTCTTTCTCTCTCTCTCTCTCTTTATATATATATATATATATATATATATCATAGTCAAAGGTTATTTGAGAAGTGGTAAATATTTAAAAAGTAAAGAAGTGATTTTAGCTCTTTATCTGGTCAATATTTCCGGCTTTGATTATGAAACACCAAATAATTCTTCGTATGGGCATGCAGAAGATAGAGGGATAACTTCGTAACTTTTATAAATGGGTGGCAAAAATATTCATATGTGAACCTGTTAATTAGTTCGCGTGTAAACTATTTAACTGATATGTGAATAAGTTAAAATAGTTCATATGTAAATTAAACGAGTTCACATATGAACATATAATTCATATGTAAATCAGTTAAAATAGTGTTTTTATTGTGAAATTTCATGTGTAAAAAATGATCTCACGGGTCTTATGAAAACAAGCTACATGAAGATATATATATATATATAGAGAGAGAGAGAGAGAGAGAGAGAGAGAGAGAGAGAGAGAGGGAGGGGAAGGGTTTAAATTGAGAACACCTTCATTTTACAAGAACGCGAGAACACTTTTTATTATAGACAATCACATGTGATACTATTATTTCATCACATGTGATATCAAATCAGAGACCAGGACGACTTTTGGCATGATCTAGTTGCGGGCCAAGTCGCCCTCCTCCCTCACATGTGATAAATGTGTTATTGATGTTATATTATAATCCATCAAGACCATCGCATGCGATACTAAATTATAGACGCAAACGATCTTTGGCGCGACTTAAGTCGTAGGACACAACGTCCGCAAACTATCATGTTCCCTCACGTGTATTATCACATATGATAAGAATGTTCTCACATTTTCGTAAAATAAAGATGTTCTCATTTGAACCATCACACCCCCCCTCTCTCTCTATATATATATATATATAAATTATTCTGTAATAAAACAAAAATAAGAATTGGACAAAAACAGGTATCATACTTTTCACATTGTAACTCTCGTTTAGAATTTTTCATTTGTTCCACAATCAATATTTAAGAAAAAAAATATCAGTGTTCATCTTCATCCTACAATCATCTCAAAGAAACACCGCCATTCTTAAACAAGGTAAGAGATGGCAGCTGCCACCGTCTCTCTTAGCACCTGCTCCGTTCAACAACCGCGAGCCATCGCCCAAAGACTTCACATGCTCTTCCACTTAACAGCCGTATTAGCCATCCTATACTACAGGTTCACCAACCTAATATATGGTGATGTACCCACCCTTCCATGGGGTTTCATCACTCTTTCCGAGCTCATCTTCTCCTTCATCTGGTTCCTAACCCAAGCCTTCAGGTGGCGCCCAGTGGTACGAACCGTCTCCCTTCATAATCTCCCGGATGACGACGAGTTGCCGAGAGTAGACGTCTTCATATGCACAGCCGACCCCAGCAAGGAGCCCACAGTCGAGGTGATGAACACGGTGTTGTCCGCCATGGGGCTCGATTACCCATCGGACAAAGTGGCGGTCTATTTATCGGATGATGGTGGTGCACCATCGACACTATATGCTATCGAGGAAGCATGTTGTTTTGCCAAGGGATGGTTACCGTTTTGTAGGAAATATGGGATAAAAAATAGGTGCCCAGAAATGTTTTTCTCTACATATGGACATGATGAGTTGCTTTTCAGAAGTCAAGAATTTGAAGTAGATGAAGAAAACATGAAGGTATAAGCATACATCCAAACACTAGAACAAATTCGATTTTATAAGATCGTCAATTATGTTCAACAATCAAAGATAGATATTTTTTAATATATATATATATATACACTTGGGATCATAGACCAAGTGTTTTTCGTGAAACCCGTAAGACCGATTATAAGCCCTTGGATTAGATCTACAATCTGAACATTCATAATCACAAAAATTGCTACGAGACTTCTCAGTAATCACAAAATTGTCACCGTACAACTTTAGACCATTAGATCATTAGCTTATAAAGTTGATCAATAAACATAAATTGGCCTTACAAATCTTACAAAAATCTTTGGTCTCAAATGAACCCAACCCTATATATATATATAGATAATTCTTATTAGAATTATCCTATAAAAACTGTTAGCATGTCCAAAAATATCCTAATTAATTTATAATATCTTTACAGATGACCTATAACACACATATATATATATATATATATATATATATATATTTATTGTAGTATTATAAAAATTATTTTATTGTAATTTGTGCTTAAAGTGCAACTATGATCATAATAAATATAATAATGACAGGGCTGGCCGGAGGTATGTCTATTTGTGGGCCTAAGAAAAATATATAATAATAGTTTAAAAAAAGTTAATAAATAATAGAGACATAAATAAATTTGTATCTAATAGGATCTGAAAAGATTTTGGTATTACATGAATTATTAAGACCCAAATATGTATTAATTAAATATATTAGAAAAAAAAATATATAAAACGGTTAATTTGTCGTTCATTATATAATATTATTTAATGTTTCTTTAAGATTTTTTAATCTAAAACCAACATCTAAATTTCTCGAAATTTTGATAAATTCTCCATAGTTTATCTCCGCTCAACTATTTTGATTATTCCATCCTTGCATGAATTCTATTTTTATATTAGAATATAATAGATTTTTTTTGTTTTAGCTAATAAAACCCCCATCTTTTGAAAACTTTACCAACAATATGAGACGATACAACTTATACATATATTTAAAATAATAAAACTATAATTGTTTTTTTCATAGTTGTTCTTCATTATCTAATATTGAGTGTATCAATTTTAAGTACTCTTCTATCTCTAAAAAAAGAATAAAATCTCAAACTATCACCAATATGAGTTTTTTATTTATAAGATTGATGATTCCATAAAAGTTTGTTTTAACCCTGACGTTGTATTCTTGAGTCTTCTTTTACGTAGGAAAAAGAGGAAAGAATAGGGGAAGAAAAATATTATGTTCTCGAGATTTTTTTAGGGAAAGGAAAAGACTTCGTTTTTCATCAAAATTTATTTTTATTTCATTGTTTTTCCATCCTTTCTCTTCTCTATCAAAAACACAAATAAAAAACTTTATTTTTCTTTCTTTCTTTTCCTATCTCATTTTTTTCTTTTCTTTATGTATTCAAGAACATAATATATAAGTTCAAAGTGGTGTTAAAAACCATTAACATGAGGTGACATGAAAACCAACCTATTTACATTGATTTATATAGTGTTACTTGGAAATCAGAAGAATTAACTTTGTGACCCCAAATAATGTCATTCTATGTACCAAAATATATCATAAAATGCTTTTGATGATGGAACAAACTGAGGATACTACATAAAAATGTTCTAGTAGATAATATTAATTCATAAATGATTATTGATTGATTTTGCATTTAAAAATACTCGGAAAAACAGTTTTATATGAATTCAAATTTAATTCTGACCGCTCATGGCCTAAAAAATATCAGGAACGCGCGTGAATACGATCCACTCATCTAATAACAATGTCTCGCAATGTGTAGTGACGGGTGTTTGAAGTTGGACAAAGATGTTTTTTTTTCTTAGTGTTATATGCTGAAGTTTCGAATTCTGTACGTACAGTTAGCATACGAACGATTCAAAGAAAATGTAGAGCAGAGAACCAATGGAGCTTCTGCTGTCAACGACCGGGAGCCACACATTGTGGTATCGTTTTTCTGATGCATTTCTGCAATATTTTTGCAATAAGTAACTGGTTTTTGCAAACACTTTTATTTTATTTTTCTTAGTTTTGCAAACTAATGAATGCAGATTATACATGATAACCGAAAGAGCGGAAGGAACGAAGAGAACCAAGTTCAGATGCCTCTTCTTGTCTACGTATCTCGAGAAAAAAGACCATCTCTTCCTCACCGTTTCAAAGCCGGAGCTTTAAACACTCTTGTATGCTCTAAGCCACTACGGATTCCTAGATTCTTTTATGTTGGAGTTGTTTGTTTCTATAAACTTAAGTCTTATTAAGCAACATGTTTAAAATACTTACACAAGATATAATGTCATATATGTAAAACATATTTTATCATATTAATCGTGTTTTTTTGTAGCTTCGTGTTTCAGGAGTTTTGAGCAATGCTCCATACATGCTGGTGTTGGATTGTGACATGTATTGCAATGAACCTACATCTGTGAAACAAGCAATGTGTTTCCATCTTGATCCTAAGCTCTCTAGTTCGCTTGCTTTTGTTCAGTACCCGCAAATTTTCTATAACGTTAGCCAAAAAGACATCTATGATGGCCAAGCAAGATCTGCATACAAGGTAAAACTTAACACTTTGTTTGGAGGGCCAAATTAATCATACAAAGTCTTCATATGCATATATAGTTTGTGAGAATTGATATATATATATATATATGTGTGTGTGTGTGTGTGTCTATGTGTCTCTATGTGTGTGTGATATCAATTAAAATGATCAGTAATAAACTTATTGATTTTGCAGACCAAATATCAAGGGATGGATGGGATCGGAGGCACGATTTGTTCAGGAACCGGGTATTATTTGAAGAAGAAAGCATTATACACTTGTCCCAATCAACAAGGTATCATTCATTAGAATTTGTTATAGGTAAACTATATGTTATTTAACAAGTTATATATATATGTATGTATGTATGTATGTATGTGTGTGCATGTATATTAGGTTGATTTTTGCATTTGTGCTGCAGATGAACATCTTTTGCATCCTGAAGAGAGGTTTGGTGGGTCTAGAAAGTTCATAGATTCATTAAAATCCAGTGAGAACAAAGAGACTCGAATAGATCGATTTACAACCGCCATTTTAGAAGAGACTAAGAAGCTCGCCTCCTGCTCGTATGAAGATAACACTAAATGGGGTAAAGAGGTATATCTATCTATATATATATATATATATATATATATATAGCTAATCTCCCCTTATTTGATGATAACAAAACCTATTCTAGTAGTTAAATTCAAACACTTGGGAAATATATACATCAAAGTCAATGTAACCCTTTGATTTTGTCATCATCAACAGATTGGTTACTCGTATGATTCATTACTGGAGAGCAGTTTCACAGGGTATTTGTTGCATACAAGAGGATGGAAGTCAGTGTATCTATATCCCAACAGGCCATGTTTCTTGGGTTGCACCACCATCGACATGAAGGACGCAATGGTTCAACTCATGAAATGGTCTTCTGGATTGCTTCAAGTTGGTCTCTCCAGGTTCAACCCTCTTGTCTATGGTGCATCCAGAATGTCAATCCTTCAAACGATGTGTTATGCCTATTTCATGTATACCCCCCTTTTGGCAATAGCATTTCTGCTCTACGGCACCATACCCCAATTCTGCCTTCTCAAAGGCGTCGCATTGTACCCCACGGTACGTAAAACTCTACCAAAATTCTAATGTAATAACTTTACTATTATAATATTTGAAATCTAATCAAATTACCTTTTAAGAAGAGAGAAGGAAGATTCTAACATATATTGAAATAGAAAGGTCTAGGTCTAGCCGAGCACAAATGTCCCAAGGTGTTGGTAGACCTTGGGTATGATAATATGTTATAATATGTGAAATCTCATTAGATTAATCTTCAGAAAGGCCATTGAGGAGAGAAAAGAGAACATATATTAAAGTAGAAAGGTCCAAGTCTAGTCGAGCATAAATGTTCCAAAGTGTCGGTATACCTTCGATATGATAATAGAATATGTGGAATGCCATAGGATTAGTTTTCAAAAGAGCCATTATGGAGAGAAAAGAGATTCCAACATATATTAAAGTAGAAAGGTCCAAGCCTAGCCAGTGTAGACGAACACAAATGTCCTAGAATGGCCAGTTCTTGGCAGTTCCTGACAGTTATTATAGCTTCTAATTAAGTCGATTAAAATAACTTGTTAAGACTAAAAGTAAGGCCTCCTTTTTCTTGATGGGATATCTTAATTCTAGAGGTCCTGCTAGCCTATGAGGTCGGACAACGGCTACATTTATCTGTCACTGGCAATGGTGCCGGTGCTGGCACCGTCATGCACTAGCACTGATATCCCAAATGGTAGATTGATTGTGAAACATGTTAAAATATGTGGAACCCCATGAGTCACTCTCTAAAAACGTAGATTCTAACATATATTAAAATAGAAATGTTCAAGTTTAGCCGATGTGAAACTCTAATATACAAGTTGTATTTCAGGCAACAAATCCGTGGTTTAAAGTGTTTGCAACAGTATACATATCCTCACTTTCCCAACATTTGTATGAAGTGCTCTCTAGTGGTGATACAATCGTGACATGGTGGAATGAACAAAGAATCTTTTTCATAAAATGCATCAGTGCATTACTATTCGGATGCGCTGATGTCATGATGAAGTCACTCGGGGTTGCAAAAGCCAATTTCCGTTTGACGAACAAAGTGGTTGACAAAGAAAAGATGGAAAAGTATGAGAATGGTAAGTTCGATTTTGAAGGTGCCAAGATGTTCATGATACCGATGACATTTATGGTGTTATTTAATGTCGTGTGCTTTTTGGGAGGTGTGAAGCGAGTAATACACAATGGCAATCTTGAGGAGATGTTTGGCCAGGTATTCATGTCGTGGATAACACTAATATATAGTTATCCGATCCTCAAGGGGCTTGTACCAAGCGGTAGCAAAGGTAAGAAGATTAAACATTAACGAACAAACTTGATCGCTCGTGAAGATCCAAATCATATTTTGTGTGAAGGTCATGGATCCGATTCCTCTCGATCTCTTGAAAAGAAGTCAAAGCTTAATATGATCGTAGAGATTGTACACTTATAATATGATGAAATAATCGATTGAGAAGATATCTTGGCTTGGCTATAACTCTTTTCTCTGTCTCTCTCTCTCTCTCTCTCTATATATATATATATATATATATATATATATAGAGGTTGGTTATTATACAACCCTTGAC